GAACTGGTTGTGTTGCATTCTTTTAAAAGACGAGAGCATTCACATGGTCCTTTCTGAAATTGAATCTGCGAAGCATTTGCAGTAGCAGATTCAGTTTGTAACTCAATTTCTCTGACTACGTCTCCAAGTGGGGCAGAGTGCGTGTGCAGGGCATTAACAGTCGATGGTAAAAAGCAGCTTTTTGAGATCATTTTTTCAGTTATCGACCCTGCTTATGATAGTTATGATCCGCAAGTCAGGATGGCTGGAGGCGTTCCGGTTCATTATGCCATGGAGGTCTCACAACCCGCTCAATCGAGCAGCGATTTCAAAATAGACATCAGTAAATTGCGTGGCAAAATGTACAAAGAGGACAAAGGTAAGTGCTGAATAGTTTCTTTCAGAGTGGCTTATGAGATCTTCTCTTTTTTTAGATGATTGTGTTGAATAATCCTAACAATCCAACGGGTAAATTGTACTCTCGCGAAGAACTCGAAGCTATCGCTGAAATGGCGCGTGATTTCAATCTGATTGTGGTAGCAGATGAAGTTTACGAATGGCATGTATGGAATAAGAAGATGATTCGCTTTGGTAAGAACTTGACATTATTTGGCTCCCGCTTATTGAATGTGTAACGTTCCTTTAATTAAGACGTGCGATAGCGTTTCACTACTTATATTGAACTTTCACGTGGGCATAATAGAAGTGGGGAAGTAAAAGGCGGAATTTCACCTGAGTCCACACCACTGAATAGCTTTCATAGTCCTACGCAATTCAAGTGAAGTACTTGTTTTATTGTATGTAATGGAATATTATGCGCTAGTTCGTTTTGTACTCCCTTGGATGAATGTTAAAATTGGCTATTGCCCAATTACCGTGTATGAGTTCTACCTGATTTTAAAGGACGAATTAAGCTGAAAAGCAACCCATTTCAAATTAACTAGAGATGGTGAGTGGTACACGAAAGAAGGAAAAACCATGAGAAACGGCCCAGAACCCGAGAAATGGGACCCCTTCCTTGCCCGTTGATTTGAGCATTGATGCGACTCTCATCGCTGTGCCCTCTTCAACACTACGCTCTCTCTGCTATCTAATCACTCGCCACGTATAGACCTGCGGCGAGTGATTAGATAGTCGGTGGGCGTACCCCGCCAACCGCGCCAAGAGTGAGCCATGCTAGATCGCCGAGGTCAAATCTTTCGCTGCCAATTGCGCGTTGGTCAGCACCCTCAGAGGTCCGCCTGCATCCTAACCAGGGTCAGTCCTATCGTTGTTACTTTTTCAAAAATTTTTACGACCCCCCTCCCCCAAGGTGGATTTGGTACGACCCCCTTTTCGACACCTCGACCACCATATTCCTCTCTATAGTATTTAATTCTGGTACCACTCAACCCACCAAACTCCGCCCACTTTTTCCTCCAAAAATGCCGTCGAGCGGGGGGGTATATACCCACTGAAACAGTAAAAATTACCAAAATTCCCTAAATTTCACCAATTTACCCCACTTCTTACCTATAATCCCACGGCTTCATTTTCTAGGGGGGGGGGGATCTTCGTAGAACCATACAGAAAGATAGCTTCATTTAGTTGAAGAACTCGAGGTGGTCTGGAGTTTTGCCGAGTCCATAAAAAGGTCAGGAAATCGGTCTTTCCCAAAAAATATTCGGAGTCCTTAACGTCAGGCGAACCACTTGGTGGTGGATTCTGCGAGCTAGAGGGCTCCCCCTGATGCCAAAGTGTCGCACGATGCCAGCCTTGTCTTTTCACTTGGTAGAGAGTGGATCTTATCCGTCAGAAAAAGGATGGTCCAATATTCATAGGAAGCGACCGCAGATGCACTGGCTGAGCGTGGTTCACGCAAGGGGCGTTTGCTCTTGCTTCTTTTGCTCTTACGTATTGAAGGAAGTTACGTTTGAACATCTCCATTGAGAAGATTTTTCAATCGCTCAAAGGCGAGTGATCTCTGGGCAGTCGTCTTTTCCTCGCCTGCTTGAAGTCTAGAATCTACTTCGGTAGATAATGTTGTGCAATTTGTTGTACAATTGGCTACCTGCCATTCTTCATTTCGTAGCGTAATTAGTCGAGTACGATGAATGATCTGCTATGTTGTTGGATAGTGCAATCGCTACGGTCGCTGTATAGCACTCACGCTGTAACGAACTGGGGGACGTGTGGAATATGGCAGAATTTTGTGCTTGTTTTGCTTTTTAATTTCAGCACTTGGAATAGCTTGTGGACAGCCACAGTTAGCGCTCGGCGGAAGGAGCAAAGGGCAGATGAAAGAGATTTTCATGAGTGACCGTAAACGCGAGCGATTCGGGTGGAGTCTGCCAATGTGACAGAAGTTTAGTGTGGCGTCACAGCCAGAAAATCGACTGGTCTTTGTGGTACAGCGGACTCGTGAACGCGTGATTTATTTGAGGTGCTATAAAGGGAAAAAATTTGAATTTAGCCGTGCGGAAAAAAAGAAAGGAACGAAAATGAAACAAGCTATTGGCAAAAACGTAAGACAGCAAATAACAGATCAGATGTAATGACTGAAGAGAAAAACGTGGAAGTCCACCATTGGAAGATATAATATTTTTGAACGAAAAGGGTCAACCTGGGTCAAGAGAAGGAACTTTGCTTCCAATTTGATGCATTTCACTCTATAATAAAGCGGTCTTACATTTTAGCTATTCACGTTGTTTTGTTCAGCTAGTCTTCCTGGAATGTATGATCGAACAATTTCAATTGGCAGTGCAGGGAAAAGCGTTCTCTGTAACAGGATGGAAGTTGGGTTGGTGTGTTGGTCCAGAACATCTCTTGACTCCACTGAAGGTTCATTTCCTTTTCTATGCTCTCACTATTCATTTATTCAAGAGAAACACATTGAATAAATGTTCAGAGGATACACCAGAACTGTGTTTTCACATGCAGTACTCCAACCCAAGAGGCTCTCGCGTGCGCTTTCGAAAAAGAGTTGGTCTATTCATGTCGTTATATAAACCAGTTGGCGCCGCACGCATTGCGCGCGCAACACAGATCTGCGGCGAATTTTGATGGTGCGACGAAAATTTTCAAATTTGGCTTGATACAATACGAATATCTGAATTCTCAGCTAAATTCTATCCGCTCCATCATCGACGGCTTTCAACCTTTTTTTTCGTCAACCATTATCCTCTTTTTCTCGGTCTCCGGACTGCTTCCGGACAATAAATCTCGTGGCAAACTCCGCCTACTTCGGTGCGTGCCCCGCCCACCAATAGCATTTGGCCCCCTTCCTTTCGCCGACCTCTACCCCTTTTTTCACCGGTCTCTGGGACCTCTTGGAACCAAATTACGACACTTTTGGCAAACTCCGCCCACTTAGGTGCGTGCTCCGCCCACTAATAGCAGTTGACCTCCTTTCCTTCGCCGACCTCTACTCCCTTTTTCCCGGCCTCCGGGACTTCTTGGAGCCGAGTTATGAATTTTCGTCGCAAACTCCGCCCACTTTGGTCAAGCCCCGCCCACCGATGACAGCTGGCCTCCACTCCTCCACCCACCTCTATCCACCTTTTTCCGGCTCTTTAAGACTTCCCCGGCCCGAATTATGAGGACTTGTAGAAAATGCTGTACACTTCAGAGCGCGCCCCGCCCATTCTGGGCGGGCCTCCGCCCACGTCATGTATGCTGGAAACACCTTAGACATTGCTCCCCTACACCAATTTGTTTTCTGCTCTGTAGGCTT